TCGTGCCAGCCGCCTGCCCCCTCCACCACCTCCGGTCTTCTTGACACCGGGTCCCGGTGTGGGAGTGGTGAGTGAGTGGGATAGGTTCTCCACAAGTCTAAATTCACTATAATCCAGTGGAAGTCACCGCGCTGCATCAGCTTGCAGAAGCTCGCGATGGACATCGTCGACAGCGACGGTCGAACTGTCGTATTAGTTAAGTGCATCTACCACTTGGCCCATTGTCCCCAGTTGGTTCTCGAGCTCAAGAGAAAAACGCCTCGTTCTTCTTTATTGTGAATGACACCACCGACAACGGGCGTAGGAAAGCCGGATTTGCTGATATCTGATATAGGCCCAAACAGGGTATCAGTTTGAAAAAAAAAGGTTGAGGAGTTAGAAGAGCGCTGTTCGTGAATGGCAAGATAGGGGATCAGCCTTTCCAAACAGTGAGTGACGGTAAGCGTGAGATAGATGTTCAGGAGAACAAAGGTCAGGTTGTATGTAGAAGAAGTGTAGAAATGAAGCTACAACATGTACAAAAATAACTAAAATTGTAGATGGCAATCCGAACAAGTAAAACACGAAGCACATAAGAACGTGAGGGCAGGTGATAGCATAAAACTCACCGCCAGCCAGGAAACGCCAATTTGTCTGTAGACGAAAAGCAGTAAATCGCGGAGCAATCGAAGTAGGTAGGAGTCTTTCTCGTAGCTCAGCTGAGCGAAACCGCCGAGAAGCTGGTGAGGGGTAGGCGGGAAAATGTGTAAGCACAAAACGAGTCAACTATGACAACTTGCACGGTAAATATAAACTGCAGAGAGGATAATTTGTATTTTAGGGTTGGCAGATATGATTAAATATTGATATGGGATTGTTATGCTTGGTGATGGTCTATTCCAGCAGAACCAAGATAAATAGAACTTTCGAGAACATAATTAATTAATAGACTTATGATCTATTCGGCGCAATAGAGTAGATTGCGCGAACGATCAGTGAGCGAGAATAACTTAACTCTAGGATATAGTAGCACCTCGAAGTCGCTCGTTCATAGCAGGACGCTTCCCCAATTAACACAGATGACCAGAAACTCGAACGCACGACGCTAGCATCATCATGAAATAAGGATTCCAGCAGTGCCTCCTACTTTCCCCTTCCTCGGGACCAACTAAACACCAATTCAAACAGGAATAAGGACAAACCTATCGAAGGCGGTCATAGCTGAAATAGCTGCTAGCTCAGTCTGCCCTATCTTTATCTCGAAATACCTCAACTATTGGCTGTTTGATCGAATTGAAACCATTGCACAGTCACCTGTTAATGGCCCCTATCATCAGATACTGGAGCTTGTTTGGCTTGAGAAGCCAGTTGGTTGGACGCGTGAATATGGACAACAGACGCGGCCGTTCCAGAGGACTCAGAATTTTCCTAAACATACTGTTTCAAGATGTGGCCACATTCAGCTTCATCTGTGTTCGTTGGGGACGTTTTTAATACGGCCGATGAAGTCAGGCCAGTAACAACAAAATCAGACAACTTGTGGTCCCCAGACCTCTTGCACAGAAACCATGTTTATTTATTTGAGCTTCCGTGGTCTAACGAGAGAACGTAATCGCCGACAACAGCAAAACACACTGTTCTCCCTGCTTTTGTAAACATTCAGGACAAACCGGGCAAAAACTGGGAGCATGCATGAGCGGTGACTAGACCCACTCTGCTACATCATTATCCGCATCCTGGACGGATCAAGCCAAAGGCTGCTCAGCGGTGGAACAAGGCCGGCCATGAAACACACTGAATCTAAGAATGGTGGCGCTTAATCGTAATATTGATCTCCTACCGGCGTACACAGACTTTCCGCTGTTTATCGACTTGCACACCAGCAGGGGCTGATTGAGTATAACGTCATAATGTTTTAAATGATGAAGAGACTCACGCGAGCTTGGAGGTTTAGCAAAACTAACTTTTGGCTGCAATGCTCGACCAATTTAACTTTTCTTCACTCCAACAAACGGCTGGGACCCGAATACTCGTCTATATTCGTGCAAAATGTCTGACTGGTATGGGAGTGAGACAGGTCAAAAGGGATAAAGCTCTGGAGGGAGAACTACTTGAGGCAGGTGTTCGCCGATGCATTCTCTGAACGTCTCCACCAGATATGCCGGAGGCTGGGTTGCAACACGGCCTTGACCTGACACGAAGGGCGATTGTGCCATCTGCTCGAAGATGCGTCGCGGTGCAAGCAGAAGGCAGGAAGCCAGACGTTCGAAGGCGGAGGTCTGGCAGGGAACCGGGGAGGGATAGAGGAGGCTGGCGCACGTCTGGACCAGCGTGCCGGCAGCCCTGTATATGCACAAGAGCTGGGCGTGTATATCATC